TACACAGTGGGGTTTGTGATTGCAAAGGGTTGGGCTGGCCACAGTTCTTCCCCTCCCATTCCTGGATGCAATTCATATGCTATTTTGCAATGTAACTGTATCCTCTTTAACTGCACAGGAATTGCAACCAAAAATGGTGAAGGGGAAGCAGCTGTCAAAAGGGCTGCTACTAGAAGCTTTGAAAATGAGGAGAGAGTGAGCAGCTCAGACACTGACCATCTCCTCTCATTTACAAAGCCTCTAATAGCTGTCCCTAAAATTATTAGAAGACTTCAAAATGGCTGAAGCTAGTCAGGTTTGGGGCTGCTAATACCACAGCATTAAGAACAGCCAAGGTTGATTATTCTGTACTTAACAAGTACTGCTTATTATGGTTCTGTAAGTGCATTTGCCAGGTAAACGCAGAACCTTTTTTCAGTCCCAAGGCTACGCACCAAGTCAAATAACACTGCGTACTGATGAAGACAGCTTTAAACTGCTCCATTACATGTGAATTAACTCCTAGGCCCTCAGCTCTCAGGCTCCATTTCAGCACGGTGATGCAGCAAACATCTACATACCGGGCTTCTTATGGCTCACTTGATCTCTCCTGCATTAACTCTGTCCCTGGCTAAGCAGAACTAGGTGGTATGTGGGCACAGACAAAATGTTCCCATGGACACTGTTCTAGGCTCTGAGTGAGGCCATTTCTTTGCAATTTCTTGGCAGTGAGCCATGATTACACTAGTGCAGAAAGTCTCCATACCTTCCCCTTGCAGGACACACTTGGCTGGATCAACTGCCTTGTTGACAACAGCCCCAAAAATCTCATAGCCATGGTACTGCCCAGCCTTCTCTTGGGGAGAGAACTGGATCCCATCATCCCCTCCAGGGTGCACACTGTAATCCACTCTGATCAGCCTCTTCAGCCGGCTCGCCACCACCCTTTTTGTGATGAGGATCTCCAGGTCAGAGCCATTGGTCAGTAGGTGTTCTGTAAACTCCACCCCCGTCCTCATGTCCAACAGCAGCTGCTCCAGTTGTGCTTTTTGCAAGTGCAACAGGTTCTCCTTCTGCACCTTCAAGTCATCCAGCTGCTTCAGCAGCCGGTCCCGGTGCTCTTCAATAGCCCGTATGTATCCATCTGCAAATGCGTGGATCTCTGCAGCCACTGCCTCCGCATGACTGTGGATGGTGCTGCCCACCCCTTCAACCTGATGCAGTGCCTCTTCCAGGGTGCCCACCTGCTGCTGGGTGCTCTTCAAGAGTTCCCTCATGGAGTCACCATGCTTATGGATGACGTTGCTGGTGAAGTCATAAGGGTGCTGCCGGTGCTTGTCCACCACACAGTCCCGACACACAGGCTGGTCACACCGCTCACAGAACAGTTTTAGTTCCTCGGAGGGGTGGGATGGGCACAGCATGGGCTTCCCGATCCGGTTGTAGCCCTTCAGGTCCTCCATGTCCACCACAGCATGGGAAGCTGTTTTCCTCTGTCTCCTGAAAGGAAGCAACCAGAAGTAAACCTGGGTGGGACAAAGATGCCCTGTAGGTTCCTAAAAGCAACCCGTGGCTACCTCACATATTGTGTTCCAATGAGATGATGCATCACAGCAGGTGACATTCTGGCCCGATTCAGCAGATGGGCACAACACATACCAGGACCAATGGTCTCCTTGGGGCCACAGCACCACACTGAAGATGACAGCATGTGAAAACCATCCCATATTTGTAATTATTATATATGTGTGGGTGTTATGTTACATAGTCTAAAGGTACTATCCTGCCTTCTAAACCATTATGCTCACAGTCCCCTTAGGGAGCCTGACCACACTTTGAAAAGTGCTGCAGTGCATGCTAGGGTTAGCAGGAGGTGGCCTGGAATAGGCTTGTTCAGCCACTGCCACTTCTGGAGATGGACAGGAGATACCAGGCTCCTTACCTGTCAGCCTGGCACTTTTCACCAGTGTTAAATTCACAAAAGCAAGTAACCAGGGGAGGAGACCAGACAATTTGGACTGGACAATGGCCAAATGACAACCTGTACTAATACCCCTCCTTTTTCCAGGCACTGTTTGTTCCTGTCTGCTTATACAATCATGCCACCTTTGGCACAGGAAATGGTGCCACGACATCCGGTTCCTGCAGTCATCCCATGTCTCTGCCTTGCCACCTCTTAACTCACTTCAGAGGCAAACACCTTTCCTTGCCCTGGGTAGCGCCTCTTCAGTTTTTCCCTACTCTGCTACTGTTCAACACAACTCCTTTACCTCTGCAAATCAAAGGGAAATACCCTTGTGTGACTACTGACTCACTGCCTCACAGGAGTGCTATGAGGAAAAATTTATTCATGTCTGGGAGGTACCCAAATGCTATGATAATGGGGCAATTAAGCATGTGACTTGCCAGCTGCCTGGTCATAAATGGGGCAATTAAAGCCAACATTGGCACTTCCCCAACACTGCCACCTTCTCCTCCAGGACTGGAATTTTCCACAACTTTCCAATGCACCTGCAAGTACCTTTGTAAACAATGACTGTATTAATGTTTTAAATCAACCTCTTTTTGGGCAGCATCAGCAGAAAAGCAGAGGGCTGAATGCCAACTGGAAACCAAACCTCCCTATCACCACCCAGCCATGGGGTCCCCTCAATGCCAGGCCTAGACAAAAAGCAGGAAGCTTGCACTACCACTGCTCTGGCTGCAAGATGGGGGAGTTTGGGCTTCAGCCTCCAGGGCTGTTGTTCTCTTGACTTTCCAATGCAGCTAAATCCACTCAGATGTAAAACAGAGATGTCTGGAAACTGCTAATGTGCGGATTTAGATCATAGAGAAGTAGGGCTGGAAAGGATTTCCACAGGTCATGTAGTCCAAGCTCCTGCCTGACCCCACTGTGCCTCTGGACTGGGCCAGGCTGGACAGACAAGAGCAGCTCTACCGTCCCTTCTCTCCCTGGAAGTCACGAGAATCCGGATCAACACAGGCTCTTCTCATGGCAGGGGCCGGCAGAATGTGCAAGGCTCTGTACAAACATGCTGACACACCAACTGGAGACTTTCAACATGACTTGCCAAGGAGCCACATGGTGCATTTAAGGTGTTGTTGTTACTGCATAGTCATTTAATACTTCCTTTAGTACTGTGCTGTTACTGCACCATGCCATCCTTGGAGGTTTTCAAGACCCAACTTGACAACACCTTGGCTGGGATGAACTAGTTGGGGCTGGTCCTGCTTTGAGCAGGGGGTTGGTCTAGATGACCTCCTGAGGTTCCTTCCAACCCTCATTTTCTGTGATTCTGCGATGCCAGTGGCGCAGTTACTTTTAGCTGTTATGTCACCGTACTGAAATGCTACGAGGGAGCACATCACTATGGCGATATAGCTGCGGCGTCACAGTTTGTGCCCGCCAGTGCTACGATGCCGTAGCATGTTGTTAGGGTGATGCAGTGCCTCATGTAGACGCGCTCACAGACTCTCATTTACTTCATCTGGAGGAATTGATGCTTGACACTTCTTGAAACTCATGCATCCAAAAACTAAGTGGACACTTTTGACCCAAGTGTTTACTCCAGAGAGTGGACAGCTAACACTGTATGTACAATGCACAGGAGGAGAATGGCAAGAGGGGCTGGATACCATGTCTGCCATCTCCCTGCATCGAATGCTCCCCCCACACCTTACCTGTGGGCTTGGCTGCAGAAGTGGCAGAGGTTGGCTTTGCAGGTGTGACAGCGCTTCGCTGCCTCCCCATCCACGCAGAGATCACACACTACCCCATGGCCTTGTGCCTGCAGCGTCTCCAGCAGCACCTCGTTCAGGGCCAGGTAATCTGTGGTCAGTTCCTGAATCCCTCCAGGGGGCAAATCGACCTCCGTGTCGCAGACGGGACAAAGGATGCTGAGCAGGGGCTGTGGCAGGTCCCGGAGGAGGCATGAACGGTCTGAACTGGAGTCCGAGCTGCAATCTCCCTGGAAGCCCAGCACCGAGAAGGGCTCCAGCTGCTCCAGGCAGGGCAGGCAGAAGGTGTGCAGGCATGGCAGGATTTTGGGAGCTAAGAACAGCTCCGTGCACAGCGGACACCGGGTCCTGGGTGGCACTCGGACCTCACTGGGGACTTTAGCCATGATCTTGGGCTGCTGCTGGGGGTCCGACATCACCTGGGATTGAGAGGATGGACAAGAAATGAAACCCTCCCCTGAGGCAACCACACCAGGGCAGCCCTGACTGCACCCTGCACCGCCCACAAGCCTCAATGCCCAGGAGGCAGCTATGGTGCCAGGTGGCACAGCCGGGGGGGCAGCAGGGGGGCTCGAAGCCAGGGGAGGGGAGCGAGGGTCTCCGTGCCCCTTGGGCGCAGTCACGCGGGGGTGTCCCCACGCCCACATGGGGCTGGCGGGGCCCGCGCGGCCACACGCGGGGGAGAGGAGACCTCGCGCGCACCCCCCACCCCGCCTGACTCACTCGGGCCCGGCCCCACCCAATCACTGCTCCCCGCTCCACCACCCACTGGCCAGCCCCTGCTCCCAGCTCATTGGCCCTCTCGGCCCAGAGTGACGCCAAGGATAACCAATCGCCGCCCCACCCCGCTCCAACCGCCCTATCAGTGCGCGCCTCATTCTGAGGGCTCAAGCCCACAAGGCTTAAATATAACTCTCCTCGCTCTTTTCTTTCTACCCCCTCTCCCTACCTCACGCGTCAGTCCCCGAGGAGGGGGCAGGCAGCCTTTCACTTCAGCTTTGCTTTCTGCTCTGTGACAGCCCCAGATGTCTTCCCCTTGCATGCCTTATTTTTTTTTTGCAAAAATCTAGTTGGTTTAAATTAAACTGTTTAATAAAAGATACCACCTCTCCCACCAGTTTCATAGATTTCATAGATATTAGGGTTGGAAGTCATGGGGTCCAGTTGTGATTCTTCCCCTGCCCTTCCTCGTGCATGCCCTGCCACTGCCCTTGGTAGCCCCATCAGCCTCTGCAATGTAGTCCAGCAGCCCCTGCCTGACCCCACTGTGGCAGGTGAAAATATTTTTCACCTGCCTTCTCCTGCATCTCCCAGCATCCCTTGCCCTGCAGGAGACCTGGGGGCTCTGCCACAGTGCCTGGATATCAGTCCAGAGCTCCCCTCCTCACACACACACTTGGCCTTCTTGCTGGGAAGGGCTGGAAGCCCCCTGGAAACCCAGCACTGAAGTTGAGCTGGGGAGAAAGCAACCCCGAGCTGTGCCAAGCCTGCTTGGTGCCAGGCTTTGCTGGCAGTGTCTTGTCTTGCAAGATGCCCGGGATCCTGGTTCAGATTGCCCTGTCTCGCTGCATGCCGTCCTCCCAGGGCTCCCAGCAGGTATAACAGGGTGCACAAGGAGAGCAGAATGAGAGCCCCAGCCTCACTGCTTTCATAGATAATTTTCATAGACATTAGGGCTGGAAGGGACCTTGCGAGATCATCAGCTCCAGCATTAGTGAGAAGATGCCCCCAGATTACCCCAGCTGGCATGGCCAGTGCGCTGTTTCCCATCTCACAGGAAG